CTACAGCAACATAGCAAAACAATAACAACAAATAGTCCCCAGACTATTTTTTACTATTTTTGAATATTCCTCCTGCAGAGGGACACGCCCGACCTAACGCTTGGCCTGTGCAAGGCCTCTTGGCGGGCCCTTGCCGGCGCAAGGCGAGCGGAACCAGCGGCAACGATCCAAGATCGGTCCCCGGACCCCTTCCGAGCTGCGACTCCAGTCTTGTAAGCTTGGAAATGGGCACCAGCACCAACACGGGGGGTTGCCTCCGCCTGGGGAATATGATCCCAAATTTTGGTGTTGGTGGCAATTTTCCGGCCACCTAGGAGGCCCGAATACTACCACCATCACCGAGATAGGGATCGCCATCCCCTGGTGGAAGCACACCGCCGATCTTGGTGTTGGTGTCAACCTCCAGGCCTGCGACAGTCGTGGCCACGAGGGCTGGCAGGCCAACTGCCGCGGTCTCAACTCGGGGGCGGCCAAGAGGGAGGCGTCCACGAGGGGGGGGGCGCCAATCATGGACGGGGGCATGTGCGCGGCCCAAGGGTGGGGGGCCAGGGACGTGACGAAATGAGAAGAGGCGCCATGGGATCTGGGGATACATCATGGCCCCCGCTGTGATATCCACCCACCCCCCGTCATCACCCCCCTCTTGGCCGCCCCCGACCTCTGTGCGTACGCCGCCTTCGCAGCCGGGCAGCCACGTACTGACCCCAAGCAGAGGAGACAGAGGGGGGAGGGGAGGCCAGCACGCTGCCTACGTCGGCCGTGAACAAGTTGGTGACGGCCGCCGTAGGCTGCGTGCCGTCGACAGAGCCGAACGGGGTAAGCATACTTTTGGCTGACACGCGTGCTGAGGATCGTCGGAGGCTGGAGGCCCCGAAGGGCGGCGGCCGGTACACTGTGTGTCCAGAGTGGGGCTCTGGGTGTCTCGTTGGGGGTCGTGTCCCCCGGGCCAGGGTTGTTGGCCCTTGTGTGTCCAGACGGGTCTTCCTGTGTCCGCGAGATGTTTGAACTCAGATTGTAGGACGATGTGCAACAACCCGTATGTTGACTCGGCGACCAACTGGTGTGCCAATGTGGTGCAACCTGAAATCGGCTGCTCAAAATTAAAGCGTAAACGCCAGACGCTGGATGCTCTGTGCCCGCCGCCATGTGGATACTTTTGCATATGCGAACCGTCTTAGCGTGAACCCCAACCAGTGGATCAGTGCAGCCGCAAAGCAAACCAGCGCAAAGCAATGCAGAGCGACGCAAGGCAATGCAATGGAGAACCATGCCAAGCAATGCGCATGACAACAAGGGTCGGCTCCAACTCCAACGGTCGGCTGGGCCTGCCATCGTTACCGAGAACTTCTCATCATAATCAACATTCCACAGCCTGGCGCTGCGAGAGCGACAACATTACGCTGCCTGGCACGAAGTCGCGTCTGCAGACTTTGCGAAACTAAACTCAACGCCCACGCGGGGAGGCAACTTTCGCAACGATGGGCTGCACGGGTGTCGTGGACGTGCGGAATCCCGTGTGCGTGAAGCCCTGCGCGCACTGATGTGGCACGTATCTACGTGTGTGAATGTGTATGTGTGTGTCGTGTGCGTGCGCGTGTGCGGCGTGTCCAGCGTGTCCAGCGTGTGCGGCGTGTGCGGCGTGTGCGGCGTGTGCGGCGTGTGCGGCGTGTGCGGCGTGTGCGGCGTGTGCGGCGTGTGCGGCGTGTGCGGCGTGTGCGGCGTGTGCGGCGTGTGCGGCGTGTGCGGCGTGTGCGTCGTGTGCGTCGTGTGCGTCGTGTGCGTCGTGTGCGTCGTGTGCGTCGTGTGCGTCGTGTGCGTCGTGTGCGTCGTGTGCGTCGTGTGCGTCGTGTGCGTCGTGTGCGTCGTGTGCGTCGTGTGCGTCGTGTGCGTCGTGTGCGTCGTGTGCGTCGTGTGCGTGTGCGTCGTGTGCGTCGTGTGCGTCGTGTGCGTCGTGTGCGTCGTCGTGTGCGTCGTGTGCGTCGTGTGCGTGTGCGTCGTGTGCGTCGTGTGCGTCGTGTGCGTCGTGTGCGTCGTGTGCGTCGTGTGCGTCGTGTGCGTCGTGTGCGTCGTGTGCGTCGTGTGCGTCGTGTGCGTGTGCGCCGTGTGCGCCGTGTGCGCCGTGTGCGCCGTGTGCGCCGTGCGCGCCGTGCGCGCCGTGCGCGCCGTGTGCGCCGTGCGCGCCGTGCGCGCCGTGCGCGCCGTGCGCGCCGTGCGCGCCGTGTGCGTCGTGTGCGTCGTGTGCGTCGTGTGCGTCGTGTGCGTCGTGTGCGGCGCGTGCGGCGCGTGCGGCGTGTGCGGCGTGTGCGGCGTGTGCGGCGTGTGCGGCGTGTGCGGCGTGTGCGGCGTGTGCGGCGTGTGCGGCGTGTGCGGCGTGTGCGGCGTGTGCGGCGTGTGCGGCGTGTGCGGCGTGTGTGCGCGTGTGCGCGTGTGCGCCGTGTGCGCCGTGTGCGCCGTGTGCGTCGTGTGCGTCGTGTGCGTCGTGTGCGTCGTGTGCGTCGTGTGCGTCGTGTGCGTCGTGTGCGTCGTGTGCGTCGTGTGCGTCGTGTGCGTCGTGTGCGTCGTGTGCGGCGTGTGCGGCGTGTGCGGCGTGTGCGGCGTGTGCGGCGTGTGCGGCGTGTGCGGCGTGTGCGGCGTGTGCGGCGTGTGCGGCGTGTGCGGCGTGTGCGGCGTGTGCGGCGTGTGCGGCGTGTGCGGCGTGTGCGGCGTGTGCGGCGTGCGGCGTGTGCGGCGTGTGTGCGAGCGTGTGCGGCGTGTGCGGCGTGTGCGGCGTGCGTGCGCGTGCGTGCGTGCGGCGTGCGTGCGGCGTGTGCGGCGTGTGCGGCGTGTGCGGCGTGTGCGGCGTGTGTGCGGCGTGTGCCGGCGTGTGCGGCGTGCGGCGTGTGCGGCGTGTGCGGCGTGTGCGGCGTGTGCGGCGTGTGCGGCGTGTGCGGCGTGTGCTGCGTGTGCTGCGTGTGCTGCGTGTGCTGCGTGCTGCGTGTGCTGTGCTGCGTGTGCGTGTGCGCGTGTGCTGCGTGTGCTGCGTGTGCTGCGTGTGCTGCGTGTGCTGCGTGTGCTGCGTGTGCTGCGTGTGCTGCGTGTGCTGCGTGTGCTGCGTGTGCTGCGTGTGCTGCGTGTGCTGCGTGTGCTGCGTGTGCTGCGTGTGCTGCGTGCTGCGTGTGCTGCGTGTGCTGTGCTGCGTGTGTTGCGTGTGCTGCGTGTGCTGCGTGTGCTGCGTGTGCTGCGTGTGCTGCGTGTGCTGCGTGTGCGTGTGCTGTGCTGCGTGTGCTGCGTGTGCGTGTGCTGCGTGTGCTGCGTGTGCGTGTGTGTGTGTGTGTGTGTCTCTCTGTTTGTGTGCGTGTGTGTGGAATCCTGCTCGTGGAGCCCCGCGTGCGCGGGGCCCTGTTTAGCATCTGGACTATGGCGCAGCATGGCACGGGACGGCGTCGGCTCGCTCGCATTGCGCATGAGGCTGTTCGACGGATCGGTCCGCCCAGTCTTGCCAGCCCTCTTTCTTGTAGGTGCGTTTACGCAGGGCTGTGGAAGGAAGGGGAAGAGACGCAAGGCCGATGTGGGGAGCGCATGTGGCCAGGGAGGACGCGGAGGAAGAACCCCGAGCCCTCTCAACAACAGCCTTCCGCGGTACAGCGGCAGCCTCAACTGGACACCGAAAGCACAGACGGAATCCATACATCTCACCAGCCCTCGAGGCGTGAGTGGTTTCGCAAGTTTCCTCTTCCAGCTTCCCTCCTCTCCGTCGGGGATGGGTTTCCCCCTCACCCTTTCAATGGGCAGCGCGGACGAACGGACGAAACGAGCGGCGGAGGCGGCAGCGTTCGGATCCCTGGAAGCGCGGTCGGGGCCTCACGGCTGCACGGAGGGCCGAGCCCAAGCCTTGGAACAGAACAAGAGAGACGGCGGGTCGCCTCAGGAACTCCCTCCCTCCCCCTCCCCCTCCCCCTCCCCCCCTCCCCTTCCTCCCCCTCCCCCCTCCCCCCTCGCCTCGGAAAGGTTGTACCCCTCCCCCTCCCCCCTCCCCCGGGGTCTGGGGAAAGGAGGGGCGCGAGCGTGTAGAGCGTCCAAGATGGCCCCGGCGAGCGAGTCAGCCCAAATCACTGTGATTTTACAGGGAGATGTTGGCAACATGTTGAGTACGGATTGTCCTTTGACCGATCACCTCCAAGATTGCCCCAAGATGGCCCCCGAGGTCCCCAGGGGTGCCCCAAAACGGCCCCAAGAGGCGCCTGACAGGCCCCCAGGAAGCCCCCAATATGCTTCCAAGAGACCCCGGCCCCAAGATAGTCCCCGAGGCTCCCAAGTGTGCTCTGAGAAGGGCCCAAGTGGTCTCCAGGAGGCGCACAATAAGTCCACAAGAGGTTTCCCAATATGCCTCCGAAGTGCTCCCAACAGACCCCAAAACGCCCAAACATGCCCCCCAGAGGCATCCAAGACGCCCCAAAAGACCTCGACGAGAAGGCCAACATCACCGATTCGACTAAGGCGTTGGCCAACAAATTTGGCCTCCTGGGAGGGGGGCTGACTTACTACGGCCCCTCCCGTGATCGATCTCATTCAGGATGGCCCCAAAATGGACCCCGACACCCCCCAAGAGGCCCCTAAAATGACCCAAAGATGCCCCCCAGAGGCCCCCAAGAGGCTCCCAAGAAAACACCAAGAGCTCCGAAGAGGCTCCCCCCGAGGCACACAAGACGCTTCAGAGGCCGCCGCGAGGATCCCAAGAGGCCCGCACGAAACTCTCAAGAAAAATCAGACGAAACTCCGAAAAGGCCTCCAAGAGGCCTCGTTCAGACTCGTCCTCCGCCTCCTCCTTCCTCTTCTCCACCTCCTCCTCCTCCTCCTCCGCCTTATCTTCCTCATACCCCCCTCTCAGGATATGACAGTTTCCTCAGCGCTTTCTTCCACTGCGTGCTCTTCCGCTCGCCTGATCAAGGTAACTCGGTTTCTGGATGGGCTGGTGGGGCTGCGCAAACGTTCTAGAGTACGGTCGATGTGATGAGTTTTTTCACCGCAAACGGTTGCACCACGCAAATTGTGCAGATCAAAAGGTTAAGCCCTCCTCCGCACTTGCGTCGGGAGGGCGTGTGCCAGAAAACGGCGTCGGGAAGGGAGGTCGGTGGATGTGGCAACCATACTCTTCAACAAATACATTTTGTCGGGCTAGAGGGAACCCGCCCTCAGCATTCGTAAAATCCGCCCCAGCACATTCCTCCGCATCGAGGCAGGCAGCCTCGTGAACTTCGCAGGCGGGAGGCCAACGATGCTGGATGAGGGGGAGGAGGAGGAGGAGGAGGAGGAGGAGGAGGAGGAGGAGGAGGAGGAGGAGGAGGAGGAGGAGGAGGAGGAGGCGTCCCAAAGGTCGCACTCCTCCTCCCCAGCGCAATCGGGCAGCATCGCAACGCTGGCCTTAGGGAAAGAAGGAAGAGCACTGCCTGAACCGGATCGATCGGGGGACTGGCTCAGGGGGGAGAACATGGACCGAACATCGACGAGACATTGCCGAACTATCGGCGACATACCCCCCCTAGCGAAACCACACGTTCATGGGCGGGTGGCCCCTGTCGGCGATGAGTGGGCTATTGGGGATAAATGCATTCCTCCCTGAGCCGTTCCCAGCCCTTCGCGTTGCTTCATTTTTTCTCACGCGCGCAAAGACTGGGAAGATGAACGGCACACTCTACGCAACAACGCCAACTGCACCTCTCTGTGCGACTTGCGGCTCCGTCATACCGCCTGAGATGCTACAGCGTCAGCGTGTGGGGGGAAGAGGACGCGAGGATGCGAGAGGAAGAGCATGAGGATACGTGACCGGCAAGATGAGGATGAGGGCAACGTCAAATCGAAGACGACGTTAACCCTCGGAGCCCCGAGTGGGCGGTGGGGAGATCGAGGGGCGAGGGCAGGAGGAGGCTGAGGCGCAGGAGGCGGCGAACGAGAAAGAGCGGGCGCAAGAGGAGGGGCGGGAGCAGAAAGGCGGAAAGGGGGAGGAGGCAGGAGGAGAGGACGCGCGTGCCCGATGCTCTCCTGGAGGGGAATCTCTCCGTCGTGTTAACAAGTCGGGCGCCTCTCTCTACAGGAAAGAATCTCCGTAAGGGCTTCTCCCACGACCACCGGCCCCCCTTTCCACCAGGACGGAATATAGCAAAGTCGCGTCGGTGCGTTTCGGCGCTGCCTTGGCGCATCTGGGAACATCATTCGGGGGCGTATAGGAACCATCAACGCATATTGAGACGTTGGCGTTATCGAAGACGCCTACGGCGAATCACCGCCGCCCCCTGCCTTCTGGAATTGCCCATATGGCCGAGTGTTGTGGCACGAGCTCTGCCAAGCTATCGGATTATGTGTTCCCCCAGCTGTTGTGGAAACCCTTCGGGGAACTCTCGGGGGAGGACAGCGGGGAAGATCAAGAGGAGGCGGAGGAGGAAGAGGTGGAGGAGGTGACATCTTGGGAGCCTCTGGGGATACTCTTGGGGCCTCCTGACAGCTTCTTGGGAGCCTTTGGGGGCCTCATTGGGCCTCATGGGGGCTTTTGGGAACTTCTCGGGGACTTCTTTGGCCGTCTTGGTGGGCTCCTGGCCCGTCTGACGCCGTCGGAAGCCGTCTTGGGCGCCTATCTGGGCCGACTTGGGGCCCTCTTGGGGTGCTCCAGGGCCGTTATGGAAGCCATTTTGGGCGTCTTGGAGGCCGCTTGGGCCGTCTTAAGGCCCTCTTGGGGCCGTCTTGGGAGCCTCTTGGGCCGTTCTGGGGCCATCCTGGAGGCTTCTTGGCGATCTTGGGGCGATCTTTGGGGGCTCTTGGGCCGGCTCGAGCCGTCGGTAGGCCGAAAATAAGCAAATTCAGCAATCTCTCAAAAGTCGTAGGAAAATCATGGGTCTGAGGCTTCTTGTGTATGTGTTGGGGTGTCGTGGGGAGCCGCCCGGGGAGCCCCAAGAGGGTCTCTTGGAGGCGGTTTGGGCGTCTCTTGGGGGCCTCTTGAGGCCTCGTGGGGTATCTTTTGGGCCTCTTGGAGACCTCTTGGGCGCGTCTTGAGATCCTCTTTCGGGCTTCTTGGGGCCTCTAGGAGGCTTCTTGGGGCCTCCTGGGGGCTTCTCGGGGCACAACTATCGAATGTTCTCGGTTCGTGGTCCCCTGCTTGGGCCCCTCTTGGGGCCGTCTTGGGGCCTCCTGGGCCGTCTTGAGCGTTTCGTGGGCCATCTTGGAGCCGTCTTGCAGCGTCGGAACACCGAAACTGCGAGAAGGCCCAAATCCCTCAAACACCTCTGTACAATCTACGATGTTGGCCTCTTGGGGCTCTTTCGGGAGGCCTCTTGGAGCGCTCTTGGGGCCTCTTTGGGCCCTCTTGGGCTGTCTTGGAACCACATTCGGGCGCCTCGGAGCACTCTTGGCCTCGGCAATGCGGCTACGGCGTGCTTGGCGAAGGCCTATGGCTTCGGGGACGGGAGGTGTGTTGCCTCGGGGACGCAACACGTGCGTACAGTCAAAAACCCTAATAATGACGCGCGGTAAGGACGCAAGGCCCTTGGAAGCCGAAGCTGGGATTTTTGGGGCGGCGGACGACGAACACCTCAAGGACGCAAGAGCAAGGAAGAGCAAGGACGCAAGGGTACCCTGAGCAAAGTCGCGCGTCCCTATTAGGGCTTTTGACTGTAACTTACGAGGGCCCGTGGCTTCGGGGACGCGACCACTGCGCAACGTACAAAGAGTTCTGGCCTCGGGGGCGCGGGTCTTACGTATGTTTACCGACCCACGCCCCCCCCCCGGGAATTCAGAGAATGCGATTCGGGGGTGGTAGATCGGATACTTTTGGGCTCCCCCCCTCGCGCGGACTTCTACAGTGTACAATGGGAAGCAGGGGCTTGAAACTGCAACTGGTGCAGGGAGCCACAACTTCGGCCTACAGCCCGTGGGACCCACAAGGGGGCCTGTAGATTTACTAATTTTCTTCGAGCCCTTCTGGGAACGATTTGTAGACTATGTTTTAAAACTATGTTTGATGATGGTTTGACTAATATTTATCTTTCCTCCCAAATCCGCCTGTATGAGGACATGCCCGACCAAACCGTCGTGATCGGTGCGGGTGGGTTTCTGTCTCCTCAGGCGAGCCCTGAATCGAATCTACAAGTCGGATCGGCGATCGACATGAATCGGATCGGCGAAAATCGGCAGCCGAGTCGGGAAAAGTCGAATCGGCGGACATCGGCAGGCTAGTGTGCCTCCAATGAGAAATTGGCACCCAAAGCGGAACCCCAAGCCGAATCGAACCGGAATCGAAGGCCATCGAAATCGAATCGAATCGTGATCGGTGCGCGTGGGTTTAGGTTGGGCGCGTCCCCCTACAGGCGGATTTTGGGCGAAACATTCACAATCCGTAAGAAGTACACAAACATAGCAAAACAACAATCAAAACATAGCCACCAAACTCCTTTGTTGACTATCTTTGAATATCCCTCCTGTAGAGGGACAGGCCCGACTTGAGCGTGGGTTTCTGCCTCCTCCCTGCGCGCCGGGCCATCTCCCTCTCGCCTCCTTTCCGCCTGCTGCGTGCGGGCCTTGCTCTCTGGTGGACGGTCGCTAGACGAGCGCGCTCCACTACTCGCAAAACACCTACACGTCGGTCGGAAAAAGTAGGTAAAAGCATGAAGTAGGAAGGCGGATTAAGCTGATTGTGTCCAGGCCCCCCCCCCGCGGGAATGACAAAACACAGCAAAAGCGTGCCGATTCTTGAAGTGGAAAGGCGCTTGAGGTAGCTTGGGATCTGGGGATCCAGAAATACCTACTTTCAACGACCGGCGTGTACTCGCAAATGACTTGGATCCGGAGCGGGGGATCTGCGACAATTTGCATCGACGCAGACGTCTGTTTTTCGGACGTTTGCGCGTGGGCACTTTTTGCAAGTAATGGAATTGCGCTCGGTGAGTCGCGGGCGAGGGAGGCCGGACTGGCCCACGGGGTTTCCCTAGGGGGCCGCTGGGGCTTCTTTGGGCGTCTGGGGGCTCGAGAGGGAGGAGGGAGGAGGACGCAGCAGGTCAAGTAGGGGGACGAACAATGATATAAACATAAGAACTCGAAGGTCCGCGGGGATTTCTCGGATCCGCGCTAGACCCCCCTGGCAGCGCCTCCGGCGCCGCCCCTGTCGCGCTCCGCGCGTCAGGGAGGGGGATCCAGCGCCGATCCGAGAAATCCGCGCGGACCTCCGAGTTTTTATGTTTATGTCATTTTTCGGTCCCCTATCAAGAGGGGATGGGGGACCAGAGCAGCCGCAAGGGGATCAGGATGAAGAGCAGAATCTGAGGGGGGTGATGATGAAGAGGAGGCGGGCGCAGAAGGGGGAGGAGGAGCATAATCAGGAGAGAGAGGTTCTAGAGCGAGGAGGAGGAAGATGAGCAGGAAGAGCAGGATAGCGTTGTTGACGTTCTGCGATAGCGGCCGTTACCGGCCCCGGCCTCCCCCCTGGTAGCGTCACGACTCGTGCCGGCGCCATCTGGGAATGGTTAGGAATAGCAAGAGCAACTCGAAGAGCACATACCTGTGGAAATCGAAGAGCAAATACCTCTGTCCTCTCCCTTCCTTCCTCCTCTTCCGCCTCCGCCTCCTCCTCCTCCTCCTCCTCCTCCTCCTCTGCCTCGTCCTATCCCTCCTCCTCCTCCTCCTCCTCCTCCTCCTCCTCCTCCTGCTCCTCTCTCCTCCTCCTCTCTCCTCCTCCTCCTCCTCCTCCTCCTCTGCCTCGTCCTCTCCCTCTTCCTCCCTCTTCCCTCCCGAAGCGCGCAATGATGCAGTGAAGTTCATTGCATCGCCACGCGCTTCGCACGAGGACAGAATACCGCAATGCAGAAGGGGATCGGAAGGAGGGAGTGGGCGAAGCAGGCGGAGCCATGATGGTCAACATTTTTTATTTGGCGTTTCGACACTGGGCGGAAAGGGGACCTCTGCTTAGTGCGGGTGTTTGTACCAGTGCGTCATATGGGGGAGGGACTCCACCTGCTCGAAACAGGCGCCAAAAACAGCCAAGATCCACTCCAGGGTGGGGGGGGGGGCGGAGGGGGGTTTGGGGGGCCCGCGCCAATCGACAAAACAATGAATAAACAACGATCACCATGCCGAAACGATCTCTTTGATTCCACTTCTGCCATCGACTCGTGCTCTGGGGGGGGGGCTGGGTGCCTCGTCGTTGTCGTCGTGCCTCTCCGCTCCATCGTGCTCTTTCCCTGTGGTCGTGATCTTCACTGCACCACCTTGTGCGCACCATGTCGCTGGGGCGTGCTGGGGGCGTGCAGAACGGTGCGAACCCATGCGATTCGCGTCGGCCACTTCCACGTCGGCCAACAGCGCGCTGCATCCTTTTTTCTATAAAGAATGATCGGGCTACGGTCGAACATTTCCAACTGGGTCTCAAGCAGTCAAGGAGGCTGGAAGCACACGCGGCTGGAAACACACGCGGACCATGCGGAGGTGCGGAACCAAACTGCTGGATGCGTATGCGGGCGGCTGGCGTACTTGGCCATAGGGGACCCGTACTCAGGAAAGACCCGCGCCAGCATGTGGGTCCAGCTCTCACTTTGGCTGGCCACGTCATGTGTACAGGGCTTCCTGGCAAGAGTCGGAGGAGGAGGAGGAGGAGCCACAGGACGAGTGTCCCGTTTCGTCGGCTTCGATTTCCCCGACGGGCAGCCGTGCAAGGGAAAGCCCGCCAGGTGAAGGCAGCGCGTACGCCTGCGAACACCACGAGTGGCTGGCGAGGACCATCACTAGTTTGGCTAGGGCCGCGAGTATAAGACAAGGACAAGCAAAGGGGCCCTGGGACAGACAAATAGAAAGACACAAATCCGAGGATTCGCCATATGCTCCCACATGTTCTGGGTGTTCGTCTTCCCCCCCCACATCCCATGCTTGTCCATCTCTTTCCGGGAATCGACGATTCGTGGTGTCTGTGTGTTTTGTTCCCTCCCGTCGGGGAGACGTAAGACTCGGCACGGGGGACGCAGGCTGGCCTAACGGGGCCATCCTAACAACGACGAGACCCAATCTGAAATCTGACGCGAGCTCCCGCTGCAAACATCCCACGACAACCGGACCGTCAGAATCCGGGACGCGCTCGTCAAAACACGCATGCAAGCCCGAGTTCCAGCTTGCTCGAGTCTCACGCTTCCCCGACTCTGAACAACGAGAGCAGGAGGATGAGGCGGACGACGACGACGAGGCCACCTCCTGCCTCGGGCCCAGGAGCGACGCCTCCCAGGGCACGAATCGACCACCGAAGTGTCAACAAACAGGTCGATTCGGCACAGTGGCAGGCGAGAACCACAACTGGTTTGGCTAGGGACACAAGTATAAGACAAGGACGCCGACAGCAGGAGGACGAGGAGGGCGACGAATACAAGGCCATTTCCCGCCGCGGGCCCAGGAGCGACGCCTCCCAGGGCTCGAATCGATCACAGAAGTGTCATCGAACAGGTCGATGTTGGCACAGTGGCTGGCGAGGACCACAACTAGTTTGGCTAGGGTCACAAGTGTCGCTACGGCTGCCTGCGTGTGCTCCAGGCCGTGTCGAGGTCACGGGGCAAAGGCCGTGCTTCACCCTCCACTTGGCTATGCTGCTTGGTGTCGTATCAGGTGAAGCACAGCAGCAGCAGCAACAGCCGCGCACGTGCGGGCATGTGGATGAGCAGCAAGAGGAGGCGGAGGAGGAGGAAGAGGAGGAGAAAGAGGACAAGGACGAGGAGGAGGAGGAAGAGAAGCAGGAGGAGCAGCATCAACATCAAATACCTGAACGTTGCCTCGTGCGCATTGGAGCCACTTCTGTACCACACCCAGCCGGTTGGAGCAACGCTCGTGGTGCCAGCTGGAGGGCTTCCAGCCTCGTCAGGACACTGCACGGCTTCGCTGCTGACCAGGCAGCGGCAGGACAGGGAGAAGGAAGTCGTCGTCGTCGTCGTCGTCGTCGTCGTCGTCGTCGTCGTCGTCGTCGTCTTAGGTCGGGCATGTCCTCCTACGGGGGGATTATGAACGAACAATCATAAAAATACTCAACAAATGCACAGATGGCAACGACATGATCAAGAGATCGTCCCCAGACTATACTTCGACCAATTTTGGACATTCCCCCCTGCAGAGGGACACGCCCGACTCAATCGTCGTCGTCGTCGTCGGCGTCGTCGTCCTCGTCGTCGTCGTCCTCGTCGCTGCGCCGTCGTCGCTGCGCCGAGTGGTGCGTCGTCGTCGCTGCGCCGAGTAGTGCGTCGTCGTCGCTGGGCCGAGCGGTGCGTCGTCGTCGTCGTCGTCGTCGTCGCTGCGCCGAGTGGTGCGGGCCAGGGATGCCGGCGCCGCGGGCGGGCCGCCGTCGGCCGCGCGCCGCTCACCGGGGCAGGGAGTCGCAGGCGCCCTCTTGCCACCGCACCTCGGCCCGGAGGGGGAGGATGAGGAGGGGGGGGAGGGTGAGGAGGAGGAGGAGGGGGAGGAAAAGGAGGAGGAGGAAGAGGAGGAGGAGGAGGAGGAGGAGGAGGGGGAGGAAGAAGGAGGAGGAGGAGGAGGAGGAGGGGGATGAAGAGGAGGAGGAGGAGGAGGAGGAGGAGGAGGAGGGAGGAGGAGGGAGGAGGAGGAGGAGGAGGAGGAGGAGGAGAGGAGGAGGAGGAGGAGGAGGAGGAGGAGGAGGAGGAGGAGGAGGAGGAGGGGAGGAGGCGCGGACCGCACGCCACCAGCAAGAGGCAAGCCTCGAGCTGGTGGTCCGGTTCAATCAGCACCCAGCACACACCAGGGCGTGGGCCGAGCGGGAGGGCCGCCCCGCCTGCCTGGCCACGTCGCACGCCATCCTCCCCAGCGCCGAGAGCACCAGGAAGAGGCACGCGTATGCGGCGGGGGAGGGGGAGACGACGGGCGACAGACTACAAGGGCGGCCCAAGAAAAACAAAACGAGTTTAATCAGACCCTGAGCTCGCTCCATCGGGAACGGGTTCGGGAACACTGGCGGCCGCTTCCAGCGGCCTCGAATCATCAGCACAGCGGAGCTCCGCGCGGTCATCGCCGCGCTCGGTGGCCCCAGCTATCTTCACGCCCGTTCTGGGGTGACACCCGCGCTCCAACCGTCTAATCGACATTCTCTGGTTGGCGGCAGTGCTTGGGACCTTGGACCTCCCTTTGCATTGCTGCGTGAGGTTTCGCAGCGAGCCAAGAGATCCGTGAGCCCCGCACAACTTACAACAGTACACATGCAGATGACGGAAAACGTCGTGCCCAAGGTCCCGAAACACAGAAAACTCTTCCGACGGCTCAGGCACAGCCACAGGAGTCGGGGGACCTTGGACTTCATCAATGCACACACGCTGAGCTTCGTCAGCGGCAGCCAGAGCAACCCTCACTGCTTCCAGCTGCACGGGCCTAAAAGCCGCCCCAAACTCGCGAAACCACTGGTCGCACACGTGTCGCTGGATCGAAGACGGAGAACAATCACGATAGTCTCTGCTCGTGAGCAGGCTCTTAAGCGACTCCAGAGTGCGTGCCACGCGGCCACAGCTCCTGCACTTGTAAGTGCTGGTGGCCTCGCAGCGAAATAACACATGGCTGGTGACCGTGACCTTAGGAGGGGCAGGGGCTCTCAAGAGGCGGAGGGGACGATCAGGGTCAACTTGTGTCCATGTGCCTGACTCGAGCAAACGTTGAGCAGCCCATGCAATGAACCGCGCCGTGGACTTGTGATATTTTAATTCACCTGAAACCGCCGCACAAAAACCTTCAGCCAGCGTATGAGAGCTAGCCCCTAGTTTGGCGAAAAAGTCAGCCCACAGGTTCCCAGCCCAGCTTTTGATACACAGCCCACGCTCCAAAACGTCGTCAAAACTCAGATGGGCAGGGAACCACGAGAACTGGGGGTGATTAGACTTCAAGTCAAATATGGACCTCCAGATCGATGCATGCTTGGACATGCCTTGGGAAAGATGCGGGCTCCAAGAGTTGCCTTCACGCACTACTGCCTGGAGGTCCGAAACAATACTCTGATGCTGTGGGTGAAAAGCCAGACCCTGCCGCACTGCCCAACGTTCAGCGCGACCTATGGTCTGACGCTCGCCTGGAAGCGCTCCATATACTGCCCTCAAAGGAAGCAGGCAATCAAATAACTGCACCACGCTCCAACCAGCTCTGGACACCTCTGGGACCCCAGAGTGAAAACAGCTGCCGTCGGTGAAAGACTGTGGGCCCCAGGGCCCAGAGACGTCCCCAAACTCAAAAATAGGCGGGTTGGCAAGCGGAGCGGGAATATTAGTGGGTAGAGGAGGGATGCCATAAGTTAAATAATTAGAGTGTACATCGGGCTCCCCAGTAATGGAGGCCCGAGACTCAATCAGGACGCGCCTATGCTTAGCTAGGGCCTCAGGAACCTCGTCACCCAAAGCGTCAACCCCGTCGTCGGTGATGAACTTAGAGCAGGCATACCACACATGTCCGTACGTACCTTGCGGAGCGGAGCAGGCAAGGCACACGGGTGGTACATCATATTGTAGAGCAGAAAGTGCAGCAGGTAGCGGAACCACATTCCCCCAGACGGCCGCCAGGGCCCCAAGAGCCCGCTGGTCTCTTACAGCACGTATGCCATTACGTAGCGCGCGAAACCAAGGCTCCCCTTCTGGAGGGTCAGTGTTGTATAGATGCTGCTGCAACCGACGTATCTGCCACCGCTGCACACCTTCAATAATCGCAATACGCACATCACTAGGACACACCACCAGCAGCGAAATATCTGTACCAAGATCGCTGCGAAAAGTGTGGCCATTGACCATCGTCCAGCCGATGCGAAGCAGGCTGAGCCACACCGCCGACAGCGGACCTCGAGCCTGCTGCCAGGTAGGGTTGTCGGACATGATGTCTCTCAGACGGGTCCAAGCGCGTTGAAGTCTCGATAACTGAATCCTTTCGTCCCAGACAAACGTGGCGAACTTAACACACACACAAGTAGTGGAGTCGTAGATCGGGTCGTATTGCGGATCGGCCTGCGTCAGCAGATACGAAGTAATGCCACCGTGCTGCTTGGCCCCTGCGATCGTAGCCGCAAGCTGCCTCAAATACTTCAGCGCAGTGTCTGAGATGCCCGACACGGAGCCACCGTGTCCTGCTGCTGGGAGAGCTCCAGTCCTCCACAGTCGGGTTGCACGCTTGCCACTTGCATGTTTCAGCGCAACGAACTTGTCACGACGACGTTTGAGAGCCTGTAACCTTTTCTTTTCCTGCGTGCGAACAACCCGACCAGCAGCTAATTCATGCCCGAGATTTCTCATCCATTTACGAACAGGTAGATGCAGTCGAATAGCCATCTTCGAAAACACCTTCCGAGCCACTTTGTTCCCAGCAATGAGCCCCGACTTCTTGACATGGGAGTGGAGCCCGAGGACCTTGGCATCTTCAGTGAACACTTTCACAGCACGCTCCAGGAAACGCACGTCCCGAGGATCCGAGGTGACGAGCTGAATCGAGATGTCGTCGACTAGGGCTCTCGGTGTTATACAGGGCGAAATGTCATTGAGCCTACGCACCGCGCGCAGCGTGAGGAGGAAAAGCATGCCTGTCGCATGATTGCACCCAGCAAGGATGCCTTGATGCGAACAGAACTGCACAGACAGACTGCCGAAAGCTCGAAGACGTCGTGGCTGCCTGTACAGATCCACCAACATCCAAGCTAGCCGCATTGGAAAGTGCAACGCTTCAGCTTCTTTCAGCAGCTGCTCCGAGTGTACCATCTCGAAGCATTTGATCATATCTAAGAGGACAGAAATGGAAATATCACCGACTAGCGCCGCCATCTCGGCAGCAATGTTGTGAGCAAAAGCACTGTCTGAGGAGCTGTGACCCCGACGAGTCCCCCAAACAGCGTGGCAGTCATTACGCTCTTGCCAGTCGAAGGTGATGGGCTTGCGAACTTTGCCCCAGACACGGCACAGCAAAGAGACGAGCGCGATCAGTCGAGTCCCACCATCTGGTTTGGCAAGACGACACATCTCATTACAGACACGCTCTCTAGGCCAGGCTAGGTGCAACTCGCACAGGTTAAAGAGTTCTGCAATCGCCGAGAATGCCTGTCTAGGCAGGTGTATTAAAGCTCTCGGATGAATACCCATCATGCCTCCAGCAGTGCGAGTGGGGTAAGTGTGAACAGCATCCTCCGCCTGAGCGGCCGTGATGCGCGGCAGACTGGGCCAGCTGGTGGACCCACGCGGAACCTCGAGAACGGAACAACCGTGGGACAACCAAACCTCCTCCCAGGGAACGAGTTCCGCATCGGCCTGCTGGTGGGGAGCCTCACGCGCCTGGTTGCTTAAAACCTCTTGGATGGCCTTCACCTTTGAGAACCTGTGAGCCTTCGAGGCGCCAGCAGAGAAAGCGTCCCTAGCCCATTGCCTCCAAGCCTGGGACGCCGCGTTCTCCGCACGAGCGATAGCAGCCTTCGCCTGAATGTAGATAGTGGTAAGCATTCTGGCCAAATCGGGACGTGCAAGGACGGCGAAGCCGCCATTGAAGAAATCACGCACCTCAGAGTCAAGGCAACCAAGAACTTTTTTACAGCGGGCGATGTTGGCCATGAAACGATCGAGCTCCTCAAAAGCCGAAAAAAGCTTGCGACATTGGCGAGGCGCAGCAGAACACGGAGCATCGTTTTCCTGCAACAGCCTAATTTGCTCACTGAGATGTTCTCTGGCCTTGCCAAGGTGTTTGGCCCACCCAAGAGCGACGGCCCAGGCACGTGCCTGCGGATCCTTATACGTCCTCCTTCTGGGGGGAGTCCAGACAAGCTTTTTGAAATGGACCTCAAGAGGCCCACTGCGGCCCACGTAGGCCTCGGCGGCAACGCCAACACGGTCCCACCTGGCGGCCAGCTCTCTTTCCACCCCTTCGAGGACGAGATCCCAAAACTCAGCAACTTTGGCTACAGAATCCACTTGCGGGGCAGCGGTCGTCAAAACCGCGTGCCACGGGTATATAGGAGGTCTAGCACAGCCAATGGGAGGGGTCGACGGGAAAGCTTTCGGGACCTTGGCCACCCGAGCCCAAACAGGCGTCTCCCGAGCCCTCAAAGTAAGCTGGACGGGGAGGTGAGGGTAGGTGGTGGCAGCCTCCAACACGCACGTGCGGGGGTTGAGCTTTGGCGCCAGCCAGCTGCTGCAAATGAAATAATCAAGGTGCGTGCCTGGTGAAACCTGCCTGCAAGTGGGCGCCTCAGAAACAAAAGCCAGTCCTCCAGCCGCCGCTATCCAGTCGGACTGGTCCAGGGCGGTGAGCGGCATGTTGAAATCGGCGCCTATGATCCACGGGATCTGCATGCCATTGAGCACTGACAGGTACTCGATGATCTCCCACACCAGCTCGGCGTTGCACGGCCCGTACCCTTCGCCGTCCTTGAGATAGGCCGACAGGAACA